CCCCCACATCCCTGACTCCCCATCATTTATTGTTCCTGTATTGTTTCTTTCTTTCTTTCTTTCTTTCTTTCTTTCTTTCTTTCTTTCTTTCTTTCTTTCTCTTTCTTTCTCTTTCTTTCTTTCTTTCTTTCTCTTTCTTTCTTTCTTTTTTTCCTTTCCCTTCCTTCCCTTTCCTTTTCTTACTTTTCTCTCTCCCTCCCTTTCTTTTATTTTTTTTTACATAAAAAAATTAAATTATTAACAAATATCTGTTGAAACCTACTGTGTCCCAGGCACTGAAGTAAGTGTAACACTGTTTTCTTTTGTTTTCTTTATTCTTTTTTGTCCCTTAGTCGACTTTTCCTGCCATCAGTGTTGGGAACGCTGTGTCTTTACTAAACCAAATTTACTTTTTATTGTACTAGACACATGACATGCAAAAGCCAGTTTTGTTGTACTGTCCATGTTAAGACAGGCCTGGATAATGAATAACCTCTTGCTGTTTCTGCCCTCGTCTCTCATTTGTTGGTCCAGGAAAGCTCTTTCTGTTTTCCTTTCCAAATACACCAGAGGAAGAGGGCCAGTCGCATCTTTCCCTTCACCGAATGAGGAAACTGAAAACAGCCCCCTGGGTCTATTCCTATAGCGTCTATCACTGTAGCAACGAGACGGGAGTCTATTTCCCACCAGCCATCTGGGCATCAGCCTAGCCTAACTGAGCCCAGTCTATAGGGTCAGGATGTAGCAACAGCAGGATGGGGAGAGAAATCATGTTGAAAGATGGTTGGATGCAGGGAGGAAAGAGAGGGGTCTGGAGTCTCAGATACCTAAATAGACTTGGAAGTCAAGCCTCAAGGTAGAAGAGGCTTGACCTGCCATCCAAGCCGTATTGAGGTTTCCCCACCTTCATTCACTGTGTACTTGCTCGTATTGGAACCCTGGGTAATCTAACTGTTATTGATTCAATCTTTCTGTAGGAAGAAGAATTGAAGCAGGGAGTAAGTTATGTCCCCTACTGCAGGTCTTAACTAACAGTGGAGGGGCCTGCCGTCCTGCTGTTTTTCTCATTGCTTTTGCCTCTAATGTATGTTCATGCTTCAGTTTGGAAAGAGAAAAAAAATTACTAATTTGCTTCCTTTTCAATGTAGTGCTTGAATTGAGACGTATACAATTTAGCATTTTTTTGTAACTATTACTACTGTCAGCATCAAAAGAAGAGCTATTACATCTTCTAGAAGAGGGAACAAAAACATTAATTTGTTGGAAACTTTTAGATCTCCAGGGGTCTAGGTTTCAAGCCAGTCTCACACTTTTCTGGGTTGTTGATCAGACCCTTCTCGTAATAGAAAGACACCCACCCCAGTTACACTAGGTAAAACCCACAGCACTCAGATGCTAACCTTGACATCTTGTCATGCTGAGAATATTCAGTTCAGTTTCCATTTTACTGAAAAAGTTATGGAACCTCTTTCTGTAAAAATGAGCCAATTACATCTCTTTTCATTGCATACTTATTAAGCCCTGCTCCCCACTGCTCACCGTAAGGTGCCCAGTCTAATAAAAGAAAGACTGTGCTTGGTATCTGTTCACTTCCTGTTGTTACGTTCTTCCCGAAGCAGAATCCCTACCATTAGTTGACAGTAATCTCCAAAGACTAGGTAACTTTCAGCCTTTCTCTTATCACCAAGCACTTTTTGCTCTGGGAGTTCACAAGCTGTTACATACATACAGTTGTTTCCCTGGGAACAGGAGCCTTGTGACTCTCTCGCTGTAAACTGAACTGTCTGACCACGTGGCCAGGCGCAGAAGCCAGCAGAGGGAGCAGCGTACTCAAAATATAGTAGTAATAAAAACGAACGCAAAATAAAAGCAGCTTTCATTTCAAGTGCATGTCCCAAGCTGCGTATGACAACATGTCCCACTTGTGGACATTCTTTCCATGGATCGATCAGAACCACAGCCTGTCTGATTTCAGCGTACCTTTTACTTCTTCTGTATTCTCTTTCCTATTATTCATTGTGTGTGTTTGTGTGTTACAAAGAATGTTTGCAAAATGCTGGACACATTTTTATCCTTCATTCCCCACCCCACCTCCCCGCCCGTCTGTAAAAAAGGAAAGTGTAAAATGAATCTGTAATGTCAGACAATAAAGACAATGTATTACATTATTTGTATTTTGTGAAAAAAAATCACTTCACTTAACCGAAGTCAAATTTAATGAGCAAACAGTCCCCCCGGGTAAAGGACACGCATTTGCTGCCTGTGTAATTGCCCATTAACGTGTACATGGGATATTGCGATTGTACGTCCAACACACTTAGATCATGTAAAGAAAAATGCCATCTCATGGTGCTTCTCTGCAAACAGCCTCTTTTCTTTCCTGTCTCTTACTCAGCATGTGCATAGAAAAAGGAAATAAGGCTCAAATATAACCTTCCTCCTCCTAGTGGAGAGAGACAGCAACCATCCTGTAGTCAGCCTGGCTTTAGGCGGTTCCCCCGGGGACCCCTTCTCTACCATTTCCAAGGCAACACATTCTTGAAAGGCTCAGTGGACCAGGAAGTTCATAAACAGATGGATGCATAAAGCCAAACCACAGCAGCGCCTGTAAGAGCCTTACAGCCGCCTTTCCTTCCAGCCCCTCCCCATGGAGCCCTCCACAGCGGCCACATCTTTGTCAGCCGGCCAGCAGTGGGTACCGCTGCATAGGTACTTAAGGGCCATTATTGGTAACACCCAGATGTCAGCAATGCCTTGTCTGGGTGGGGAGAGTGTTTGCTGGTCTTTCTCCTTTATTTGCTTATATATTCAAGCCTCTTTTCAAAAAAGGACCCAAGGCAGCTGACGATAAAAGAAACAATGACTTCGTGAAATAGAAATAGAAAAATCAAGAACTAAAGAAAATGCAAATACGCTCATCACAAGGGACCAGGGTGTTCCTGTGAGCTCTCTAGCAATGAGGCAAAGAAAAGGGAAAACATAATTGGCGGTTTTATCAGAATGGAAATGCCAGTTTTCCAAAGGACCCAGATTTCTGTTGGCATAAGTGATAAAAAGAAAGTTTTCACTCAGAGGAGTAGTGAGTGATGAAATGGACAATACGGTAGTAGATCTCGTGTAGCTGATTCTTATACTGACCCTCAGTCGAAATTAAAGACAGAACCCCTTATGTCCCAATCTTGCAGGGGCAGAATTCTACAAGGAAATAAACAAATGCCGTCCAAATTTATAGACTTCTCATGGTATAACATGATCTAAGGAGAGAATTTAGAGGTTTCAGTCTGGCATCTGCTTCTAAATTCTGGTTCTATTTATGAGCCTTTCCCCTTTGGGGACATTCTCTTTGTAAAAATCAGATTTAAGACACCACACACAACAAACTGTGCTTGATTTAATAGCCTCTACTTGCTTTATCATGAAAGTCTGTGTGGTTCAATGTATTTTATTATACTGGTATATATAATTCCTACTTATACTGTTTCTTGTTAGAGGTAATGCATGAATTTAATCCCCTTGAGGAGAGAACATGAATTAAAAAAAATAGTGCCTGTAATATAATATGATGATTATGGTATCATAAGCAATAAATTTTTTTTAACAAACCTTGAATCGAAATTATCCTACCCTCTTTCTTCTCTGTGTATTTTTAAGATTTATTGAAGGAGCCGTAAAAAGAACACTCATAAAAAGTTTAATAATGAAGGCGGCTGGGATGTAACAGCAGTGATGATACATTCCAGAGTTTCTGGTATACCTCCAGTGCCAAACAGTGTGACCTGGTCTAAAACCAAATATCCTGACTCTTTGAGTTCAGGAAATAGGGTCCCAATAATAATTCTCTTAGAAAGACTACTGGAGTTAGACCTGAGTTATAACGGTCCCAGCTCTTCACTCACAGCTGTAAGATCTTGAGTAAGTCAATTAACTTCCTAGTAACTTATTTCCAACACGCTGATGATACATGACTCACAGAGTTTTGTAGATTTAAAAACATGACTGGTGCGGAAGCACTTTGTAAAATGCTACATGCCTGTCAGATACAAGTGTCCATGTATGTATGTATATATGTATACACACACACACGGGAATCTATCTGCTTGTCTAATTTGACTCATATTTTACATGCACACGCACACACACATGCACGTAGGCATTCACTTCTCTTCCTTACATTAACTAGCAGTGCCTCCAATCGGGGAGAGAGTCAAAGGTCAGCCAAACTCCATCTCCTCTTCTCTTCTGTATTTCCAACTGGGTGGCTCAGGCTCCTACTTCTTCTGTGGAATATAATAAACAAGCCAGAAATAACAGCTTTTCCCCAGTTTATGTTCACTTTCCATTATTTCCCCTGCTCATCCTCTCTGGTGGGTATTCTGTGTCATGAAGCAATCAAAAGTGAGAGGGGTGGGGGTAATTCATGTCGGAAATAATCACCCTGCAATTCTAGGACTAATATCTCGTGTTCAAAAACCTACCCTCCCAGTCTCTCTCTCTCTCACTCACTGTCTCCTTCTCTCTCTCTCTCTTTCTCCCTCTCATGCCTTTTAAAATTAGGAATTGGTTAATTAATTCTGGAAAAGTAAAAATTTCTTCTCTGCTTAAAAAACCTTAGAAAATGACCCTCCAGTTCAGGATAAAGGCTAAGCGCCTTTGATGACCCTGGAGGCCCCCAAACCTGGCCCCACCCCGCCCAGCCTCACCCGGCTCCACTCCCCACACTGGCCTCCCACTGTATCAACCACACTGGCTCCGCAGTGGGTCTGCAGGACCCCCACCCCACCCCGAGCCTTGCCCACCATAATGCTCTTCTAAGCCCTGCGATGCTTCCTCTTTGCTGCCTGGAAATCTCCACTGTAAGACCCAAGTCAAATGATGCCTCCTGCCTGGCCAGTCAGAATTAGTCACCTCATCTGTAGCCCCACAGCAAACCCGATGGTGGTCAGGAAGTGCACACTGGAAGAAGGGATGAAAAAGAGGGTTGAATGTGGCCAAACACCGCTTTGCTGCACGTTCCCAGGCTGCTGGGTAAAACCAGGCCTGACTACGCCGCGTTCGCCACCAAACCCCAGAGGCTGACTTTCTGGAAGGGGGCACCTGGTTAGGGGAGGGTCCCTTCCACCACCCACTCCTGTCTCACAGCCCTCTGCTCTGCCCTTTCTCCAGGCAGTGCTGGGTCCACAATTAGACAGACCTTCGGCCCTTTCTTTGAAGCATTCCCTCCTCCTTTCTGGTGCTGAGTGGAAACCCAAATCCTTCCCGGGAAAAAAAAAAAATCCGAAAATTTATGGATCTTGTCAGACTTTTTAAAAATTGATATAACAGCAGGTTGACTGGACTCCGAGAATGGAGGGTGGAAATGAATTTTTCATTTATTCTCTAGGAAGAGAGCTATTTTAAATTTGCCAAGGGTGATGTATGTTTTCTTTCTGCCATAAATCAACCCTCTTCTCAGGAATTTTAGATCTATATATTGATCAGCATGGACCGTTGTCCCTTAAGTCTTCTGCTCCATTAATCATCGAGTAATTTCCAGGAAAGGAGGTTCACAGTGATCATTCACTCCACCATGCTTCACGGCCAGGCCAGAGGCCACTGTTCTCTAGTGGCTGCTACCTGTGAAAATGAAACTCCATGATGTCTTCACCAATCTACCCCAAGCCCAGGAGGCAATTGCCTTTCCCTAGTGGTCCTACAGGAACAGCAGGAAAGAAAGCCAGAGATGGCGCTCCCAGCAGTAAGTCTACCACGCATCAGTCTGGGCAGTGTTCTGACGAAGACAGATGGGGCCCTGATCGCCCAGGGAGCCAGGGTTGCCCCCACTCCACGTCTGGGTAAAAAGTGAATGTGACTGGGGAGTTAAAGATTGTGGGAAAGATGCAGCTGAGTCTTTGCTTCAGCACAGAATCTTCCACCTTAATTGTTCACATAATCAGACTGCTTGAAATTGCACCAATGAGAAATTCATTTAGGAGCTGGTGGCTGTTAGCAATTCACATGTTGGTGTAATTTAGACCCAGTCAATTGGTCAGTTTCCCTTAATAAATCACCACAGTCCATCATGTCACTTTTATCACAAGACCACGAATAGGAGTTTTGAAGGCCGGAAGCAGACAGAAAGGAATAGGTAAAGTTTGGAGACAGGGTGTTAGGCAGGAAGAGGTGGGGATGGGCATGTCTCAGACAGTTAGCAGGAGAGCACGGCAGGCATGCAGGGGGGAAGGCAAGAGCATTGCCAGAGGTAAGAGGCTCACAGAAAGGAAGGGCAGAAGGGCCAGTGTGGTGCCCAAAGGGGAGGGGCGGCCCCATGCGCACCCTGCGCTAGAGAGCCGGGCCGAACAGGTGCGAGCAGGGCTGGTGTGAGTACAGCCTGAGCACAGCCATCACATGTCGGAAGGCAGGCCCACGGCCCCATCTCTGCAATCACTGGGTCCAGATGTGCTCCAGAATCCAAAACCCTGGAGGCTTTAGAAATGCAAATACAGTGCAGACACCACGTAAATAGCCTCACATCGGTTATGAAACAACACGTGTGGCTCTGGGTTTCACGTTTACAGAGAAATGAGAACCCGTGGGCCTATATTTTCTGTACTGATTGATGAACAGCCCAAAGGCTGTTTCTCTCCCCTGGGCACTCTCACGGCTCCCCACGCCCAGTAACTAGAAGGTACTGCCTGCCCCGGCAGGAAGCCCCAGGCCGATGCCCAACACCCCTCCCTGGTGTGCCCATGCCCTAGACCTTCTGTATTCCCATCACTGAACCTTCCTCTGGGGTAAAGTGTAGATGGAAACATGTGACGGTTGGTCACTGGGCCTGCGATCCTGATCCAGCTGCGGTGCCGTGGGAAGGCCCTGGTCTTGTAGCCTAAAGGTGGGGGATCCATTTTCTCCCCATCATTCACTAGCTCAGAGACCTAGAGCAACCTAATTAGCACCTCTGAGCCTCAGTTTGCTAACCTGGAAAATGGGAGTAATAATACATCCTAGGCTTGTTGTGAAGTAGTTGGGATTAAAGTGCTGTCCAGACTGCACGTTGCTGTTCAGATAGAAGCTCCTATCACTCTTAGCACTGATTAGTGAGAGAATAAAACAAAACAATGTATGTAAATGTGCTTTAGACACTGAAAATTACATACAAAAGTGGAGTTTTGCTTGTTTTTGTTTTTTTTAATTTTGGTGCGGGAGGTAATTAAGTTTTTATTTATCTTTGATGGAGGTACTGGGGATTGAACCCAGGACTTCATGCATGCTAGGCACGCGCTCTACCGCTGAGCTATACCGACCCCCACCAAAAGTAGAATTTTGTTATTATTATTGTGAACCTCTCATCACAGAAGAGGATCTGGCTTCCAGAGCTGAGAGGGTAACTTACACTGTGTAGCCAAGAGGAGCCTTCTTCCTTCAACTCCTCTGCCCAAAGCCTCGTCCCCAGTCCCACCTCCCTGCTGCACCTGGTCCCTTGGTAAAGAGGACAGGTAAGAAAGGGCGAAGGGCCCCGCTGAGGACCCTGCCTGGAAAAGGATGCACAGGAGCTGCTGCCAGGGAGGGGGCCGCCCCTCACCTCAGGGTACCTGACCAACACTTGTCTCCTTGGAGGGACCCTCCAGCAGCCAGAGCCCGTCCTGTGGGGAGGCAGAGCACCTGGACTCAGGCTGCAGCCCGGACTCTCTAGCGCCATCTCCTGGGCAGTTCTTTTCACCTCTCGGAGCTCTGAGATCAACAATCGCACATTTAGCGTAAGGGGACCTACTTAAGTGGGTCGCGGAGAGAAATCAGTGAGGACATACGTCAAAAGCTTTCCTACATGGCGAAAAGAGTCCCATGCGAAGTCACTTACCACTGGCGTGGGAAGCAGGGAAACGGCCGGGTAGCGCAGCCGCAGAGGTTTCGTGGTGATGACACTGAGCTGCCAAAGTTCGCGGGGGGAAAACCAGCCCCGTCCTCGAGCAGGCTGGGTCTAGCAGGCTGCGAAGCGTCGCCAGCGGGCAAACTTCTCTTCCTGGGGCCGGGACTGGCCATGCCAAGGTACTGTTGCGAGTGAAAAGAGTGGAGTCCTCAGCCCCTCGAGCACCAGATGAGTTACTTTCTGTTTTGCTTCATTTTTAATTCTGGGTTTTTCTCAGTTCATAGATGTGACTTTTATGTGTGACGCAGAGCCCTGGAAAGCTAACAGCATGGCATTTTACAGGATTGATGTTGTGTGTTTTAACTGCAAGGAGCTGAGCCCACAGCAAAAGACTTAAATCGAATATTCCAGAGCACTGCTCTGGTGGTGCACGTCTGGGGTTTGAATGGGGTGATGATGAATTTCTGGGCCTTGCTGTGGAAGAGTCCTCACTCTCCCCGGCCAGACCCAAAGGACTGGAGTGGAATTTATGTGAACACCTAATCTCTTTGCATTTTCTCATATGTGCTGACATGACTTCCTTTGTAAACTAATTTTTAAAGCAGAGAAAAATGTTTCCAAGAGACCTCATTGTAGAGACAAGGCTATGAAATTCCAGGTGTGACAGTTTCAGATCAGTTTCATGCCAAGGACTGGCCCGCAGAGAAGAATGGCTTTTGAGTTGTTTTCTCCTCTTTTCTTTACTCATTTTTTAAAATCCCACTTTTCCTACTGCTAGAATATTGTTTTTTCATAGGCAAGGAGAAGGACATTTCCTACAGGAAACATTAACCAAACATTAGAAACCAAGATTTTTTTTTTCTTTTCCTCATTTGAATCCCTGAATCACTGAGCAATTCGTCAACTTTTACTATAAAAGAAGGATTAAACAGCTTACATCTCATTTGATTCTTAATTTGAGACTTAATATATGCAATATGGCATGATATGATTTGAACTAGGCATTATCCTCAACAGGTGATGCCAGGACAGACAGGTTGAAAATTTAGCAAGTGTATATATAAACCACCCTTCCCCAGGAGTCTCCGAGTTTATATTTAAAGCTTTCTCCTTAATGTCTTTTTATTCTATGTAGAACTCCCTTCAAGGAGAAAATAAACACACCTTGTAATTATCCCTGCTCAACAGCAGCTCCATTACCTGGGCACACATCTCATACATCACAGAACAACGACTGCTGTACTAATATTCCTAGCTTTCAATTTGTAACCGAAACTTCAGATGACATACAGTAAGGTCCTAAAGCACCTGCACCTGCAGCTCAGGGTTAGCATTACCTTCTCAGTCACCTAGGATTTCCACCTGCTCTTGGAATTTCACAGTCACGGTTTTTAACATCTGACTGAGGCACTGGGAATGGCATTTGGCTCTTTGTTGGGAAAGCAAATTAACGACGTGCATTGTCTCCCCAGACCCAGGGGCCCGGTTCTCCCCGCTCCTCCCCCAGCCACACCATCAGCCGGCCCATCCCCACGCCCGTCCGCTCGGCGTCCGCCTGCTCCACCCCGACGCACGCGCCCCAGGACTCGCTCACAGGGGTGGGGGGCGATGTCCAGGAGGCGTTTGCACAAAGTAAGTGGCTTCGCTTTTTGGTTGTGTTCTGCTTTCACGTGAAAAATAAGTCACCCAGGACTGCGAGGTCTAGGGTCAATCAGAGCCACGCCTGGGGCGTTCTAGAGTATTCCCTGGCTTGTGTCAGAGCCGGGCCCGCGAGGCATTTCAGAAACCAACTCCCGACGCTGATCGGTTCTTCGCTTCACCATCTTGTATCTTCTTTCGGCTTCTGTTGCCCTGTCTTGTTTTTTATGAGTCTTTGCTCTTTAAGGGAAGGGAAATCCTTTCAGCACTATCCCAGGAAATTGTATCAAGTGTAATGCGTTTTAAAATTCTGAAAGGTCCTATTTCCTGCTTGCTTCTTGTTACATTAAAGCAAACTCAAGACTGGGAGTAAACAATCCCAGCTCTTTAGCGCTGAGGCGATCAAGAAGGGTGTTTCAGTCGATTTACAGATGCCTTGAAAGAGTTGAGTCATTGCCTCTGTGATACGGGGCTACGAGGCTAGGCTTTCAGAGTTAATATAGGAGGGCAGAGGGTGATGTGAGATGACAAACAGGGACAAACAGCTTCTCCCGTAGCTGCCTCTTCTACATACGAACTGCGGGGGGTGGGAGCGGGGAAGGGCAGTGACGGGCAGGGGGGAGGGGTGAAGGGCGGGAGGGGGAGGTGGGGGGGAGGTCCCAAAGCAAGTGATCTTATTCATATGGAATTATTTTAACACTCTATAAAATTTTTTCTTATCACTTTTTAAATTGATAGAAAATCAGGGGAAAAAATCCTGCTGCAGACCCTCACCCTGCCGGTCTGATTCCTATAAGTAAACACCATTAACAACTTGGCCCTTCTCAACCTTTCACTTAAGTATAAATATCTATGTTTAAGTGTGCTTTTATGGACATATATACTCTTCTTTTTTCACACAAATTCGATTATGTTTTGCATTTTGGTCTGCAGTTTGCAGTGCTCCTTAGATTCGCAAAATATCACCAGCGTCCTTCCAGGTCCTTATATACAGCTTGAAGGAAAAGAGAGACAAATTTGACTACTAGTTTTAAGGCAAAAACAAACATAAAGTCAAAAGACAATAAAATAGACTTGAGGAAACCATTTCCAACATATGTGGCAGTCAAGTTTCATCATTTCAGCATAAAGCCTATAGAGATCCGTCAGAAAGACATACCTGAATAAGTGAGGGATGGAACAGACAGAGGAATAAGTAGCCGAGAAAAATATGACCAGATGTTCAATCTCACAAAAAGCTGCAGAAATACAGATTTTAGTAAAAAACAAAAACAAACAAAAAAAACACCTTTTCCCTAGCAGATTTTAAAAAAAAGTTGTTTAACATCAGTTATGTCCCAGGGAGACTGTGAAGAAACAGATGTTGTCATCCACTGCGTATGGGGGATAAACTCTTACATTTTGAAAGGACAGACTCATCTACTCCCTAGTCTGTTATGAGGGAAGGAGGGGTGATTCCTTACAGGGCTTTTTCTTTTGAAAAAGAAAATAATTTAAGTTGTACGAATATCACTTACAGTATACAAAATAATTTCCTTTTTTTTTTTTTTTAATTTTTGGAAGGGAAACTGTCCTTTCCCTAAATCTTAAAGACATGTACGGTACTTTAAATCAATTTGAGCTTCCTGTTATAATTAATGTTTCCTCTAACTACATTGATTTTTTTTTAATTTCCACGGGTTTATTATTTTACTTATTTAGTTTTACTTTCTGAGAAATGACAGAATGAAATGTGGCCTGTCTGGGCAACCCACCTTCAGAAAGAGCTCACCCTGCTTAAGTTCATCTGTGAGTCAGGTATTTGGAATCTTGAGCCTTTTTTCCCAAAGATATTATGGATTTAGTCCTCTGTTCCGTGTCCAACTTACCCCACTCCCAGACCAGCCCACAAATACTCATTTAACCATTAGTGTGCCGGAAACATCCTAAGACTCTTTCTCTACCACGGAGAAACGTGGCCTGAGTTCCAGCTCAGGGTACCAAGCGTACGTCTTCCGCCCAGGTCTTGGTGGCATTAGCAAGAATCCTCACCCCTTTTCCACAGTCTGGGGACATTCAGTGCATGGGGTTCCCATTCCCAAGAGATACCTGAGATGGTAGGGGGACCACTGAGAGCCCTGATGGGAAACAGAGGCTACAGTGATAGGGACCAGAATTGGATGCTCTCAGCCTCCAGGTATCGTCTGAAAGAGCAGCAGCTGCTGGGACGGCGCAGCTCACCTGGCAGAACCAGACTCGTCATCCGCCTGGGTTATCCTGAAGAAAGGGGACCACACTTGCTGGCTTACCTGGGACCGTCCCAGTTTGTGCCATGTCACCCAGTCTTATTATTAATCCCACCCCTTTCACCTGCAAAACTGTCCCAATTTGGACGGTAAATTATATGAACCCTCGTTAGTTGCCGTGTCTTCTTACATCAAAGGCCACTGCCCTAAACACAATGTATTTTTTTCAGGAAGTAAAACAAAGCACTTCTGAAAAGTGTTCTTGCTTTAGGGTATTAATGGAAGTGAGTTTATCATATGATTTGATAAAAACTCATAGGATATCATGTGATATCATATCCTATGAGTTTAGCATAAGAATTTGGGAAAAAGGAAAGCTTTGATTTTTTTTTTTCAATTATCATTCCTTCTTTGCTTAAGGTTCAAGAAGAAACTTAAGGAATGACTTACTCGTAGCGGCGGATTCCATCACTAACACCATGTCCTCTCTTGTGAAAGAGTTGAATTCCGGTGAGCCCTGGGTCCCCTCTCGTTGGTGTACTCGTTGCGGGGGACCCATAAGCTTCTGTTAGAGATCTGCTCGTGGCCAAGTATTAAAAGACTTTTTAAAGGGCTATGTGTTATTTTGTTGGGTGTGTTAGATTTTTTTTTTAGTACTGTTTATGTTCTGCTGATGAGAAGACTATTAATCTATCAATGCAGAAAGTTTGAAAAATGCAGAAAAGAATAAAGAAAAACATTAAGATTGACTTGTAATTCCAGGATCCTAAGTTAGCCACTGTTAAATGTTTCATGACCCAAAGTGGCATGAGGCTAAAGTTATTTTTATAAGGTCTTATGTCTTATTTACTAATTGAGATTTTGTTAATTTGGAATGCAGAGCTATTTGAATGAGGCTAAACTGAAATTTACCTTTGCAATTTCATGAAAGATCTGCACAGGAAACAAATAGCGTAAAATTGCAACACTATCCTAATAATACTACTCGGAGTTTTAAAAACTTTGAACAGCATGAATGTGCAGATATTCTTACCAGTTACTAATATATCTCACGTATTCCTTAAAGCCCGTCTGGCAAGATCTCTGTTTGGTAGGACTGCGGTCATATAGTTGAGATTACAACAACTATAAGAAATAAAACTTCAATATTAAAAAAAATCTGGATTTAAACTTCTTAAAGCCTCTATAATTAGAATTAAAGTCATGAAAATTATTGCTGCTATTTTAGGTTAAGATTACCAAATAGTACAAAAATGACAGTAGTTAATACATCCTGAGTAATGGCAGGTACCTACTGCTGTAGCAAGTGATGACTAAAAACACTATTCTCATTGTGGCCATTTCAATTACTATTAGTTTATACTCTTACAATATTTTGAAATATTAAGTGAATATAATATATTGGCCTTGTACTTCCTAAATTAAAGTAATATTAAGCAAAACTAACAATAGATTTAAGGAAGATTTTATAGAGGGAAAAGCTGGATGCTTAAAGAATTAAATCAGTTATTAAGACAAAAATTCCTTATAACATTATTAAGGTAAGAAAAGAGACAATATGGTCTACTAAGTGATGTTATGGTAATTCATGGCAGTATCAATTCTCATTTTGAAAGAAATGAACACTTACTTATGTACACTAACTGGTCAGTGTTTTATACAGCACAGGTTGGTTTTATATTAAGCCTAGCCCTTTATTGGCCAATCATAAAAAGTTCTAAGTCATTCTTTATTCTTCCATTGTACCTAATAGACGTGAGGAGTGACACCGAGAGTAATGTGGATTCTGAATTTGCACGGACTCAGTTTGAGGACCTGGTTCCATCACCAACCTCTGAAAAGGCTTTTCTAGCACAAATCCACGCCCGAAAACCCGGGTACCTTCACAGTGGAGCCACCCCAAGCACCATGCGTGGGGACATGTGAGTATCTCCTTCTTGGAGGTGTTTTTGCAGTAACAGAGCACTCTGCAGGGAGCAAAGGAACATAAAAACATGGTTGCTTAGTTCTTTATTTTGGAAAGGGAAGATGCAGTTTCCTTTTCTGCCAAAAGTAGAAAGGTACGTTTAAATTTGTCATTGTGACTTTTCCCTCACAATTTCCAGAGTATCAATAATTAAAACCAACCAGTGCTTATTGAGAGCCTGGCTCGCCCAAGGCGCCGTGCTGGTTGGGTACTAAGTAGTGTGAAAAATTGCCCGCAGCCTGCCAGGACTCACAGACCAGTTTGGGAGATAAATCATCCTATCTTCTGAATGTACTATATTTGCTCTTAAAGGACCTGGTGACACTGGAGAGGCCTCTGTTCAGAGTGGGTGTAAACAACATCATATACACACGTGTGATTGAAATAAGTATAATGTATAAAATCCCATTATAAAGAAATCCAGTTTCCTTGACTTGTTGAATATGTATCAATCTGATCTTCCAAAGACATCGTGCAAGGATTTTCACCCAATTAGGCTTCGGTCGCTTGACAGGAGCCAGCAGAATCAGTGACGTCCCCACTAGACTCTCTGTGACCTTGGATCAGCTCAGAATAGCCAGGCAGAGGAAAGCAAAGCTAAGAAACAAAGGCAAGGCAAGGCACAGCCCAGCTTGGGAGGGAAAAGAGTAGAACAAAGAGCGAGAAGTGGAGTTCCGAGACATGGGGGCAGGGGCTCACCAAAGGCTGGAGAAGAGAATTGATAAATAGTTAAAAAAAAAAAAAAAAAAACCACGGAAGAGTGATGGAGCTTAATGTGAAAAGTACTGCAGACAAGTCTACAAAAATAAACTGGCTGTTTTAAAGACCCAAAGAAGAAACTAACCAGAAGCCTTTCTGGTGTTTTGGCTCTTAGACCAAGTAGTGAGTAAAAGATCAGTAATAATGGGAATTATAAATAGACGTAGTTTGAAAGCCAGCTGTGAAAAGGCAGAGCATTAGATCCAAACAAAACAGTTATAACATAATTTAAAATGGCAGGAGGCCGCTGCTTTTTCATTTCAGTTTGCTTTCTGTCCTGTCCTCTATAATTTAGAGTCATTTGATTTGTTTGCTGTTCAAAACGGTGCATTAATTGTCATCCGTTTAGTCTGGTAAATACATAGCTATTTGATTTTTTATAATTAAGCATTTACATGGTGATTACCTAAAATTCAGACAAGTCCAAGACCGTATGCTGGTGGCAGAACTAGCTACCAACACGGCTGTGGGAGTTAAGGAGAGAAAGTTCACAGAGGTCTCACAGACCTATTTAGGCTGGCCCCAAACCTCTAAAAATAACAAGAACATGTC